ACTCAACAAAGTAATCAAGCTCAAAAAGGTGATCAAGTTCTAGTAGATAATCAAGTTCAAGAAGATAAACAAATTCAAGAAGATGATCAAGCTCAAGAAGATAATCAAGCTCAAGGAAGTAATCGAGCTCAAGGAAGCAATCGAGCTCAAGGAAGCAATCAAGTTCAAGGAAGTAATCAAGCTCAAGGAAGTAATCAAGCTCAAGGAAGTAATCAAGCTCAAGGAAGTAATCAAGCTCAAGAAAGTAATCAAACTCAAGGAAGTAATCAAGCTCAAGGAAGTAATCAAGCTCAAGGAAGTAATCAAACTCAAGGAGATGTTCAACGACTACCTAGATATTTGGAAAAAATTAAGAACACCTTGAATCCAAATCAAACGACTCTCCTTAATAGGTATAATAGCATAGGAGTGAAAATGATTTTTTTGGAAACTATTTATGAACAACGCCAAAAAGAGGTATTTTTTTCTTAAAATATGCGATATCATATACCGCATATTCACATCAGGATTTACTAAATTTTTATTTTTCAAAATAGGCGAATAAAATTAATTTACTTATCGCTATATTTAGTATGCTCGTTACCCTAGTTATAAATGTTTTAGTTATCGCCCTTAAAAATGAGGACAATACAATAATCTTACTTTTAACTGGCATCGTTTTCATTATGCAGGTTATTACTGGAATATTCACAGTGGCAAGTGAGCCATATTTCGCAAACAGAGATTATTTACATTTAGTATATATTTTCATTCCAATAATCATAAGCGTAACGTTAGCAATAAGTTTAGGAGTTTCTTTTCACTCACCACTCATAACAGCCACTTGGGTACCAGTTGGAGTATTATTTTCTAATATTATTCTTCAAAATGCTAAATCGATCAGAGGATAAATTATCAATGTCACATTCTTTTATGCATTTATAGCAAACAGATGAATAATTTTACTTGCATGACTCAATGTCAAAAAGCCAGGCAGTTTTTAGAATGCAAGCAATAATTTCTTAACGAAATTTCAATTTTCAAGTTTTTTTTTTTTTTTTTAAAAAAAAAAAAATACAACCAATTTCTTTACACGCAATCATGCAATCTTGGTTAACTCAATTAATGAAATGATTCAGGTGTGAAATAGCAAATAACAGTAGATTCTAAATGCAAAATTTTAACATTTGGAGCAATTAAAAAATTTTTACTTATTAGCAAAAAAAAAAAATTGTTGGGCAGAGTAGGATAGGATAGTATCAAAAAGTTCGGGATAGTTAAAAAGCTCAGGATAATCAAAAAAGCATGCGATAATCAAAAATTTTGCAATAGTTAAAAGGTATGCACTGGGTTAGAACTTGGATCGGTTATCCGTCGTATATCCTTTCATAAATTCTGTGACAACTGAAAAATCTTTCAATGACTGAATCGATAAGTTACTGGGTTAGAATCAATATCTTAGACATAAACAATTGTCGATAAACGAATCGATAAAATTTTGCTGATATCGGTAATTTATTAATTACGGCTCGGCAATTTATCGTTTTGATCAGAAAATGTGTAGCTGTCCTAGAATTTAGAAAACGGTTGTAAATATGAAAACGGATAACGGATCTGAACTCTACGTCGCAACACGTGTATAATTCAAAGCAGTCTTATTTATTTATTTATTTAAACAAAATTTATTATTATAATTTTTGATTGATCGATATGTCTCATACAAAATTCGTTTAAGTTAAGAATCAAAGAGTTTGTTATTGTAATAGTCGTTCAAATGTTAGGTATATCAGACCTAATTTAATTGATGGAACTGTGGTTATATGGATGGTCTTGTAGCGGTCCATGAACTGCAAGTGATACAGACCCAAAAAGAGAAATGAAAAGCTGTTGATTTGCACCGAGTACATTTAAGAGTCACAAGTTATGATAAGCACTAAAATTTGCGATTTGTTTACCGTGTTTTGCGGAATAAAGACTCTGGGTATCCTAAAATATTTATAATTATACTCGGGTACTACACTAAGAGGCAAGTATGTACTGGAATTGAAATACTATTGTTTGTTAATACTGTAATAGTTAAATTATGTGTTCGTATTTAAAACAACAACGTTGTTGTTTCTAATACTAAAGCGCGATTGTCGGTCACGCAACTTGA